GGCTCTCAATCAGCTGAGAAAGCTTGATACTAAACTCGGACGGGTAAATCTCCCCCAAGGTGATGCTCTCGCCACGTGGACTTGTCGCGGCATCGGAGTCGTCATCAGCACGAGGGTTAGGGCCACGGTTGCGAGGACCGACCCTAGCTAGCGCCTCCTGCTTGGTTTTGTGCAATTGTGACAGCAATTCCTGCGGCATCGTACTCCAGATCACCGTGTGTTGTAGCCGCAGCCCGCCCCATCCGCCCATCCACAGAGACTGGCTCACGGCTCGCACCTGCCCGAGCACGGCTTGGACAACGTCTGTCTTGAGTAGCAAGCTGCGCGACGGCTGCTCGAAAGTGAAAAACACGCTCCTCAAGTTGGCAAAAAACAGCAAGTACGACCTGGGATCATCAGACATTTCGGGGGTGGAGGCTCAGAACGCGAGTCTGGCGTAGATCCCATCGACGGCTCACCGAAGCTCACCGCTTGGCGGTGAGACTCGGTGAGCTGTTCATCGGGCTACACACCAGACTCACGTAATCCTGGAATGCCAACTCCCATCCAAAACCGGTTCGATTGATGCATGGCTCTTGAGCCAAGCATGCGTTGATCTGGACCCGAGGCCTGGAAAACTAACATTGTGTTTAGATTTGTTCAAAACCCTCCCGACACAACTTGGGACATGTGCGCAGCCTCAGCCGCTGCGCGCGCACATGACGCAGAGCTCCGAAGTACACTGGAGGGTGAGATGTGAATGGACCCGCTGGGGGCCACCGTAGCCACGAGGTAGAGGCAGTACAGGAGCCCAACCTTCACTGGAAATTGCCAACAACAATCCCCTGCCAACAGACACCACCCTCGACCAACAGGAAAATGACCCCATCAATCCCTTCGAGATCAATTCGAAGGGTTGCCAGCCCTGGAAAACCGAAACAACTCTAGGCTTGATTTTTCCTCACCCCGAGAACCGAGTAGCATATGTCTTCAAACATAGGTGCATCCCTGCGATCAAAAGTAAATGCTCTGAAGCGTGATCCCGATATCATGCTTGCAGTGTGCCCGATGCCAGAGCATATCTCGACGAATGCAGTGGTCCTCTCGATGTCAGCGATGCTCTCAATGAGAAACGCAATCGAACGCGAGAGCACAGCACGGCCGCTCCCCTGTGAAACGATGTCATCATCCAAGCCAGACTCTCGGAGAATCTGGGCTCTGCTCCGAGCCCACTCTGCCCCAGCCTCATGATGAGGTAGCCCGCCGAGTGCTGGCAACAGCAACTTGGTGATGATATTGATGCCAACTAGCTGCCACCTGCAATGAGCACCATGTTGCGCCCGACTGGCCAGAACGGACATATCCGAAGTAGCGACTGAAGGTGAAGCAGCCCAAATACTCGAACCTCAAATGTCATCCTGTGCGAGTACTTTGCGACGTCTCGGAGCGATGCGTTCAAGCTCTCGTCGATAAAACAGTTGTACATCTTTGGACTTCCGTGGATATCCACCCTGAGTGCGCTGAAGACTACATCCTCCTCCTCCTCCTCCTCCGCTGCCTCCCTCCTTCCCTCCCTCCCTCCCTCCCTCTCTCCATCCCTCCAGCCATCCCTCCTCTCTCCGTCCGTCATCCTCCCTCCACCTCCTTCCTCCGCATCCCCCCTGACAGCTCCTGGCTCGAGGTTTGGGCCCGTTTGCTCCACCCTGCCAACCTGAGAAACAAATGCCCAGAGAGGTGGTGTTTCGGGACGAAGGAAATCCCTGCTAACTTACAGCATCTTAAGTGGACAGCGTAAGACGATAACATCAGCTGGTGCGACGCACGAGGAACAACACACGTGTGCTCGCGCACGAGGTTAAGAAGAGTCTGTAGTGTCTCTCCACCGTGTATCATTTCGGGCCCAAAGACGCGAGCACCCCCATTTTGACGCAGAATGTGGATGGCAAATGGCAGCACGTGCCCGACTTCGGCCGCCTTCAGTGACATTGAGCTCCCAGGGTGCTTCGTCTTCTGACAGCCGAATTTTATCACGACAAAGGGAGGTGGGGGGGGGTGGCCGCCAACACACCGAACCATCGAAAACCTTGAGAATCTACCGGCCCCGATCTCCGAAAACATAGGATTTTGCGGCCCAGCATTGCCACTCCCCCCAGAACAGGAACTAAGACGCAAGTATAAAAAAATGGTTCCTGCAAGGTGTAGCCCTTGCGTTTGCCGAGCATCTTCGTCGTCAGGGCCCCCATTCGCTGTTGAGGTGGCATGCCTTGAGATTGCTGCCAAAACAGAAATTCACCTTGAAGCCTGCGACCCCCTGCCTCTACAACATCGTCAAGACCTCCTGGGACGCCCCATGGATTCGACAGTACCGTTCTCCATAAACTCGCACTCACGTACCGCATGACCGGCCCGAAGTAGAAAATATGGAGGCTATCGATCGCGATGCTTCGAACTGGGTTGCACGACAACTCATCCGAAAAAAGTGGGCAACGGTGTACCATCGGATCCATTATTTTCTTATCGTGTGAAAGGCGTGATCTCCACAGCGTAACTAGTACTGGCAGCTCTGTCGTCTCGAGTTGAAACGTGTCTACAAGATATTCTGACGGTTCAAGTCTGTCCCCTGTTTGGATCTCCACCCCATTGACAACTGCCGACTTCATCGCTAGTCTGCCCCGAATCCCCCTACCACCTTTTTGACATGCTAGTACACGCAAGAGCTGTCTGCGGTGCTCTTGAGTATTCAGCAGCACGGTCACTTCACACCTTACGCACGCGTCATTATAATAGTTTTCGTTCCTCATAGGCCAAGTCACGTTCGTGTCAAACCCATCGTAACACGAGTGCAAGTCGGTACCGCATAGATCACACATCATGCATGGATTGAACACCGCACTCCAAGATTGCAAGCCCAATGATTTGCTATGTTCGGCCCAGTCCCCCTTGACCCATATGAGCGCTGCTGTATACCCAAAAACTTTAGGATCTTTAAAGACATGCCCATCTTCAAACGAACTACCATCGTGACGAAACTCAGGACGACATCCCCGTTGCATAGCGAGGAATTGCCACTTTGCATTTAGGAGGTGGGGGAATATGGTACACCAGCCGCGGCAGCCGCACTGACAGGAATCAGACGATCTAGTGACCGAGAGGAGGTGGCGTTTGCCCGAGCACAAGTTCACAATCCACATGCCAAGCGTGGAGTCATTACGCCCAGCGGCAGAAGACATGTACGAAACGCCGTCGAGGTAGAAGGCGAGAGGCACGGGCAACTGCTTACCACTAGATATCGCACTGGCGACTGCAGGGTGGTTCTGATAGCACGGCAAATCCAAGATACATTCTTTTCGATCATCAGGGTCGGCATTCAGCATATCCAGGGTAGTTTGGTCGTTCTGAAGTTCGTCTTCTAAAGATTCAAATACAGCACGCACTGGCGTTTGTCTGATGGTCCTTCGGGGGCGCCTATTGAGATTCACTGGCGTATCGATGTTGAACATGAAGGGGGCATGAGGAAGAACTTGTGATAGGTGTTTTTGGTACTTACCACTTTGCTGGTCTGGCTGTACAGCGCATTGTTGGAAGTCGGCCCCAGGGGTCCCAGCATTGCGAGCCCAATGACACATCAAACAAAATTCTTTTGCCGACAATTTACAAGTTGCATACATGCGTATCATCAAAGACAGAAGCTCAGCGCCTGCATCCCTGGCGCTCTGGGTGCCGATGGATATGCCTTGGCCTCGGCCTCGGCCGCGCCCAACCCTGAAGCAATGCCGTGCCCGCTTCATGTATTACGATGCCAAAAAAATATGGCGCCTACAATTAGCAACGCTTGGGCCGACACTCCTTTCGGTGTTGCGACGGGCCGCCGACGACAGATCGACATCACCAGTCTGTTTGATGTTAAATATGTTTGGCGTGTCTGTGCCTGCCCGACCCCCCTCTAGCGTGACCTACCGAACAATTGCTGTTTTTTTTGCAACGTCCCCCCGAACTTTAAACGACGTGACTCGGTGCACAACGATCTATTGTGTTTGGCCAATAGTGTAGCGCCAATCCTAGATTCACTTCTAGGAACCCCGAACTGAACTAGCCGCTCGTGGCACTCTTGCGCCGTGAGCAAACGTACAAATTATAAGCGCCACGCAGAATCAGCCTGCAACGCGTGTGATCGAGTTGCCAGACATCTGTTCGAGCAATCTCGTGCCCCTCCCCTTCCCTAAAGTTCAACTCTGCTTCCCTCCTCGGGCCTTCAACCTGCGTGACTCTGGGCGTCGCATGACAGCCAGCCCCTGGCAGATGTCCAGCTAAGAAAAGAAGCGTGACAGCGCGAGATGCACAAGTTGCCGCGCGAAAACAACGGCCGTGCGGAAGCTCGACAAGGATGATTCGCACTACGGCTGATGTAATCAGACCTCGGGCACGCCTCTACCTTGGAAAACCTGAAGATTTCAAGCGAATGTCCAGAAAACGCAAGAAACAAATTGAAATCTCGAGAAATTTTCAAAGATCCCTGAAAATCCCGAGGCTCACCGGATCTCACCGCTCAGCGGTGAGCCCTCTGAGTGGGGTTGGGGGGGGTTCACCGGCTCACCGGTTGCAGGAAACCATGTGTTTTTACAGGTTTTGCGGTTGGCTCACCGGCTCACCGAACCTCACCGGTAGGCGGTGAGGGGGGGGGGGCTCACCGGTAGCGGTGAGCCTTCGGACGGTCCAGATTTCAGCGAGATTTCGTTGATTCTGTGTGCGCGCAGCCCGAATTTCAAAAAAGTCTGATTTCCACCTCCGCTTCGGCTCAATCGACTCTGCCCGACCCTTCCCCTCCCCTAGCACCCTCACCCTGCATTGGATTTCCCTACTCTCTCCTCTTTTCCTCCCTTCCCTCTCCTCCACCACCTCCTCTCCTCCCTCTTCCCTCTCCCTCCTCCCTCCCCCATTGTCAAAGAGAAGATGGCTCGAGCACTAGCGCAGACTCTCGTCGGCGCCTCTTGAAAACGAAGTAGCCAGCGCTGGCCACTTCATTAGTGCTTGCTGCACTTCACAGCAAAGATCTCCTGCACCGTTCCCGAGAGAGTCATCAGGCCCTGAACCATTACGTCCAATGTCTGGAGCTTCTGGAGCGCCGCCGAGAAGTCGAGGTCGCCGAGGCTCTTGCGCACCTTGCCGAGGTCCTCGGTGATGAGCCGATTCACGTTGCTCTCCTGGGCCAGGAACTCGTTCATCTTGTCGTAGTCAGCGAGGAGATTCTGGGCGTCGCTGTCGGTCGAGCCCCACTTCCACTTCGGGTCCTTGTTGATGCTCCTCTCGATCGTGATACACTGGCTCAAGCACTGCTGGTACTTGCTGATCGTCTTCTTGGCGGCAACCATGAGCTCCTTGATCGAGTCCGCCGCTCTGGGTTCTGGTGGAGCCTGAGCATGTTGACCTTTAGTTGCTCTCTTTGGCTTCTTGGTTGCAGGCTCTGGCTCAGGTGCGCCGCTGCCCGTCTCCTTGCTACTTGCGTGCCGCTTCGTGCTCGTGCGTGCTTCCTCCTCGATGGGGACGGTCTTCGACTTGTCCACTCCAGCTCCCGCGACTGCAGCATTGCCCTTGTCCTCCACGGGTGCCGACGCAGCGAGCGCTGGACCCTCAGCCTGCGTGCCCATGCGCCCTTCCAGGCGGCGCCTCTTCGTGACCGCAGACTCCACATCGTCCGATGCCCACTCTTGGTACTTGATCCACGCCTGCTCGAATGCCTCACTGTAGCCCTCGGTGACATAGAGGATGCGGATCGACTTCGTCACGCTGTCGTAGTAGAACCAAGGAGGTCCAAGCTGCAGGCGCTGTATGGCAATTCTGGTCGCCTTGGGCGGCCATTTTCTCGTCGTCGTCTCATTCGTCCTCCTGTTTCTCCTCCTCCTCCTTCTCCTCCTCCTCCTCCTCCTCCTCCTCCTCCTTCTCTTCCTCCTCCTCCTCATCCTCCTCCACCTCGTCCTCCTCCTCCTCCCCCTTCTCCTGTAGCGGTGGCCTGCAACCATCCCAGAACTCCACCTCCTTCCAGATGCGCAACTCTACCAATTGGGATGTATTGGCCCTGCTTCCACGACGTCTTGGTGTACGTCTCCCTCTTGATCTTGCCCTCGCGGTAGTTGCCGTACTTCTCGCGGGCCCACTTGGCACGGAACGCCGCGGCCTCATCAGTGCCCCCCTCCTTCGCCTTGTAGTCAGCGCCGAGGCCGTCAGGATCCTTCTCGCACGCCCGCCTGAAACGACTGGCCATCGGGTTCCCCTTGGCCCCATTCGCGTTGAAGTTGAAACCTGAAGCCCGAGTCCGCTGCCACAGTTGGTGTTCTGCTTGGGCCTTCGGGTTCCACTGGCTGGTGTCAAGCTCGTCGAGCGCCTTGTCCATGGCTGCATCCACTGCCTCCTCCTGGCCTGGCATGTCGACCTTCGCGTCGCTGCCGAACTTCACGGCGCAGTGCTTGGCATCCATGCTCTCGACGGTGAAGCCTCTCTCCTCGACAAAGCTGCCGAGCTCGTCGGAATGGAGGCACTCCATCAGCATGGCGTGGGTCGCCAGCTCGTCGACCTTGCCCGAGAGTGTCAGCTGGTCCTCTCGAGATCCAAATGCCAATGAACGCATTCGTGCACCCCCCTGAGCTCCCTACACATTACAAAAGGGGGGATCATGCATTCTCACTCATACCGAAGCCTACCGACAGCGGCGAGACGTTAGAGACTGATGGCTGCGAGCTCCGTTCTGACGGCAGCCTCGCCACATCACCACGCCTCACCGCTGGCAGTGAGCTTAATTGTCAGCGTCGGTGGGATAGTTGATCCTACCTGGCGGTCCTCGACCTTGTTCATCCGAGCTTGCAGCGCCAAGAAGTGATCCTTCCTGGTCTTGGGCGGCGTCTCGAACGGCAACGTCTCCAAATCTGCCGGGGGGATCTCCTTTCTGGGGGTCGCCCAAAAACTGCTGGCTCACCGCCTCACCGAACCTCACCGCTGGACCTCGCCGAACCTCACCGCTGGGCGGTGAGGTTCGGTGAGGCGGCAATTTCCTCCTCATATCCTCCTTCCTTCGCCTTTCCCTGACATCAGAGTGTTGCATTATTTCTCATCGATCCTTCTGGGGCGCTGGTGGCGGGGTCACGGGCTGCCGCTCCCGCTTGGAGCCGCCCGCGCTCACCTGCTCCTGGGCCTCCAGCTGGCGCTCCCTCTGCTCGGCGACCGCCTTCTGCAGCAGCTCCTCGACCTGGCTCGCCGTCGGCGGCCCCTGAGCGTCCTGGCACTGGCCTGACGCACTCGAACCTGCCGAGCTAGCTGGCTCTGGCTGCGGCAAGCGTGAGACCTTGCTCCCCTGCGGGTCCGTGGACGCGGCTGCCTCTGGGTCGCGGTCTGCTGGCACCTCGACCCCCTTCTTCCTCGCATCCTCCTCCGAGAGATTGATAGCCATATTCATGTCCTGACGGAGCTTCTCCTCCTGCTCAACCTTCTCGGCCTCGCTCTTGGCAGACTCGTCCATCGCCCGCAGCAGCTCCTCGTCATCGGTCGGTAAGTTCTGCTCGACACCGTTGCTCTCGGGGCTGGAGTCCTGCACTTCGACGACCTCGACCTGCTGCAGAGGCGAAGGTGGCTGCGGGGGGGCTTGGTGGGCAACGTTCGCCGAGCCCTCAATCTGCATGGGCGGCTGAGACTGCTGGTCTCGCTGCCCCTGGGCCATCTGCTCCTTCATCTGGCGGAGCGCCTCCTCTTGCTTGCGGATGATCTCCATGAGTGTGTCTTGCGACAACGGCTGAGCTGAGACCTGCAAGCAGTTCCCACCGTTCAGGTTCGGCAGGGCCGCGGGAATGGTGGCCGCGGCGGTGTCCACAGACGCTGACTGCGAGCCGCTCCCATCGAGCTCGATGGGACGATGTGAATGCTGCGTCGCCTGCGTGAGCGCGTCCACCTCCGTGGATCCAGCGTGATCGCCTGCAGCGGCGTCGGATGCGGACATCGCTCCACTGCGAATGCTTCAGGACGCACTGGCGAAGACCCCTCTCGCGAGTCCGAACAGATGGCGCGCTCGAGCCAGAATTCTACACGGAGAACCGATATCTGGAGGTCTGGTTTGGCTCTGTGGGGAGGGGGCAGGGGCGAGCATATATGTTGTTTCCCCTTGTGAAGCACCGCTAACATTCACGACATCGTGTTGCGACGAGGAGGTTTAAACCGACATCAAACATACTATCACTGATACTTGCATTCGTTGGCTGCTCGAGTTTCCATGGCTCGGTGACTAACACCACGGGTCGTTTGATTCGAACATTCGCCATGACAGGGTGTGTTTCAGCTCGTTGCTTCTGACTCCACAGGCGTTCGCGAAAAAAGGCACTGCTTGGCGCAATAGCCCGCCGCCTCTGTCGCGCAGCTCGGACAGCCGAATAGGCGAGGCCAGATCGGCCGCTCGATCTCACCGAGCGTGAGACAGATGCGCCATGCATGTCTGAAACAATATTGCTTCCTCCTCCTCCTGCTCCTCCTCCTTCTCCTGCTCCTGCTCCTCCTCCTGCGCCTGTCCCCTCATCTCCCCCCCCCCTACCCTGCGCCCCTCCATGGGGCCGCCCACCAATTAATGAGGTAAGAGGGCCGCCACGTGACCGCCACGAGAAAGCATCAAAACAGCGAGCGCAGGGGCTCGGCCGTGTGCGCGCGGCCAGGACGGCAGCGCTGACGGGTCACATTGGCCTGACCAGCCACGTGCATTCGGCTGAATATTTCACCCGAACGCGGACTCTGGGATGGGATCACACTCGGGGATATGCGTCGGTGACGGCGCATCCTGCACGAGCTCCCTCGGAGCCCTCGGCGGCGGAGTCGACGGTACAGACTTCGCAGCTTTCGGGATCGCAGACTGAGCCTTCGGGATCGCTGCAGACTGAGCCTTCGGGATCGCTGCAGACTGAGCCTTCGGGATCGCTGCAGACTCAGCCTTCGGGCTCTCTGCGGGCACACTCGGGGCGTTGGGCGCTGGCGTCGGTGGCGTCACAGCGGCAGGCCTTCGCAGGACGGTGTGCTCATCACCTGCGTCGCCGCCGTCTTCAGTTTCACCGTCGTGTTCGCCATCATCTCCAGAACCGGAACCCTGGGAGTCCTCCTCATCATCTTGATCTTCCTGAGGGTCGTTCGCAGGGACCTCAGCGTCGGCATCGCCTGCACCGCCAGCGGGCTTTGCTGCTGCTGGACGCTTCAGGGTCGCCATCGCCTTCGTGTTCTCCTTGACCCATTTCCGTTTGCTGTCCTCGATGCCATCTTTGTCGATGGAGCCCGCCGCGAACAACTTGGCCTGCGAGACGAAGAAGTCCTTGTACTTCTGAATCTCCTCGGGCCCCTTCACGACGAGCTGAGAACGCTGCGAGGACCCCTCCCAGATCACAATCCACTGCTTGGCCTGCTTGTGGTTGTTCACGACGGTCACCTTGACCTTCGCGTCGCCTTTGGAGCCCTCCCACAAGAGCGTAGCTGCGGCTGGAACTGCAGCATCGGCAAGGCTCGCATCGTCAGCCTCGAGGCCCGCGACCTTCGAGAAGTGCGAAAAACCTCATCCTCATTCCTTCCTCCAGCATCCTTCCGATCCTCCCTCCCCTCGTCTCCCTCCCCTCTTCTCCTTCCCCACACCCCTCGCCAGTCCTGCATCTACACTGTGTCATTCGACATTCAGTTTACTGTTGGGTTCGGTTATTGGCCCATGGATGCATGCGTTGGCCCCCGACCTTCCACAGGAAACCGTCTGGCCATGTTGCCACGGGACCGTCGGCAGTTTTCTTGATGGTGGCGTATTCTGGTTGGGCGTTCGTGCCGTCGGAATCCTTGATTCTCCAGGCAGCCTTGCGCCGACGCGTAACACTTTCAGCACGGTGCCCATTTGGTCTGCTTTGCCCCACGGTCTTGGGCGGTCCTGGATCCAGGGGAGGGGGGGCAGGGCAGACGGGATGGGCAGCGTGCTGACAGTTTTGAGCGTCGGCGCCTGGAGCTCTTTCTCAAAGCCGAGTTTCCAACCCTCCTTGACGTCGACGTGCGCGAGCCGACTCGATGAACCAGCCGAGGATGCCGCCGCCGCTGGCCGAGCTCTCTTCGGGCACGGTTCCTCCTGGGGGTCGGGCTCATCCGTTCCTCCTCCCCATCCCCACCCGCCATTCGTCGACCTCTTCGCCCTGTCTTCCTCGTCCTGGCCTTGACCAAGGACGGGGCAGACGAGGACAAAGAGGTCGGCGTTATGACGGGAAGGGACATGAGGCCGTCCAGTTTGCCCCATGTCCTCGCCATCCTCATCACCGAACGCGTCCGCCGCCCACTTCGGAGGCGGATCCCTGGTGAGGTCAGGTCCTCCATTCCTCCTTCCTCCCTTCCTCCCTCCTCCTCCTCCCTTCTCCCTTCCTCCCTCATCCTCTCCTCCTCCTCCCTCATCCTTTCCCCCTCCCGCCCTCCTCCTCCTCCTCTTCCTCCTCCTCCTCCTCCTCCTCCTCCTCCCTTCCTCTTCCTTCCTCATCACGTTTCATGCCACACGGCCTCGACAACGCCTTGGAGCAATGCCGAAGCATCGCTCGAATCATCCAGGACTGTTCGTGCGCCCAGTCGACCTTGGCGTCCGCGAGCTTCCACGCGTCTTCGCGCATGGTCGCGACGCGGAGCATCACTTCCTTTTGGGCGCGATCCAAAGATGGTCAAACCCAAAGGCCCCTCCTGTTCCTCCTCTTCCTCCTCCTCCTCATCCTTATCCTTCTCCCTCTCCTCCTCCCTCCTCCCCCTCCTCCTCCTCCTCCTCCTCCTCCTCCTCCTCTTCATCCTCCTCCTCCTTCTCCTCCTCCGCCTCCTCCTCCTCCTCCGCCTTCTGGTCAGAGATAAAGGGTTTGGAACGGGGGGTCCTCGGCCATGCTCTGCGAGACCCAGCCTTGAGCGTCTTCATGGTCTCCGACAGCATGGCCTGCCATTTCACGAGCTTCTTCTCCATGTCCATGTCCTCCTGCAAGTTGGTTGTGTACTCCAACCTGGGCTGATCCTCCTCCTTTTCTCCCTCCTCCTTCTTCCTTCCTCCTTCCTCCTCCTCCTCCTCCTCCTCCTCCTCTCCTCCTCCTCCTCCTCCTCCTCCTCCTCCTCCTCCTCCTCCTCCCCCCTCCCTCCTCCTCCTCCCTCCTCCTCCTCCTCCTCCCTCCTCCTCTCCTCCTCCCTCCTCCCCCTCCTCCTCCTCCTCCTCCTCCTCCTCCTCCTCCTCCTCCTCCTCTCCCTCCTTCTCTCGCCGTCCTTTGGATAATCCCCTGGGCAACCCATCCACCGTCATATGCCGACTCCATATGGAGAGCAGCGCGTCGGCATTGGCGTCGGACGGGGGCCGCTTCGCGGCCGTGGCGCCTTTCTTGGGCATCCTCCGCGCCACGCCACAAGAACTCGAAACCAAAACGGCTATCAACGAGATAATGAACAAGGATGCGCATCCTGGCGCGATCGTATCCGCGTTTCTTTTGAGACTGTTGCATCTGTTTAAAACGAATGCGCGGCGCCAGGGCGAGAGCTGCGCAGAACCGGAGGAGGAGGGTGGGGAGGAGGAGGGAGGAGGAGGAGGAGGAGGAGGGTGATCATGATGATGTTGAGTGCCATTGATGATGTTTTGTGATATCGAAACGAGAAAACGCATCCAGGTATAAGTCGACGCGCTTGGCGGGTGCTCAAGTTCTAGAATTAGCCTAAAACAACATGTTTGGTATATTTCACATGTCGGGACTAAAAAAATAGTCCGGTTGTTATGTTGAGGGTCGGGACTAAAAAATAGTCCGGTTGGACCTCAGGGCATGCTGGCGAGCGCCGGGAGATTGATCTGATCGTAGGTCGCGCCAAGGAAGAGGATGTCGATCAGGCACCGCATCTCGCGCATCACGCGGTCCGAATCCTCGATCCGGCGCACTCGCGCCCAAATCGCCAGCCACCGGCGCGGATTGCCTCCGTGACGCTCCATGCGGCGCATGACGGCGTGCACCGTCGAGGGCCCCTGCAGCGGGAAGTCAGGATCGACGAGGCTATGGGGCTCCTGGCAGCACTTGCGGAAGTCCTTGTACCTAGTCCCCTGCTCGTCGTAGTCCAACCAGAGCGCGCGGGCATCGCCGCCATCCCCAGCGCTCGCCGGCGCAGCCGGCTGGCCCGCGGCAGCGCCCAGGATGGTCTCCGCGTGGCCCGCATCAGGTTGGCCCTCGCCTGTGACCAACAGCTCCGCTCGGGCCATCCCGCACCAGTCAGCTATGAACCTCTCGACAAGGTCCGACCGTGCACAAGTGACCCGCCGGTACCCATCTCCGCGGGTAACGAGGGCGTCGTACTTGTCGACACGCACGTCCCTGGCCTCGAGCTTGACCTCGGTGCCTATGGGCCCGATCGCCGAGGGCTCGGCAAGCACCCAGACGTGGTTCGCGATGGACGGCCCAGGCCCGTCCGCTGGGAACACTTCCCCCTCCGCATCCGCGGCAGCGGCCGCACCGGCCACGGCGGGCAGCCGAGCCCGACGCCGCGGGAGGAAGTTCCCGCCGAAGAAGTCATCCAGCGCCGTTACCTCGCCGAACTTCACCATCACCTGCTCGGGCCGCTGCAGCTAGAACCCTTCGGACCGGACGATCTCCTCCGCCTGCGCGTGGCCCTGCCGAATCACAGCCTTGAGCTCGTCGCGCGTCGGAGCCTGCTGAAAGCGGTAGGCCTGTGCGCCCAAGCGAGGCAACCGCCCGTCCACCAGCAGCGGGATGGCACGCTCGAGGCCATCCGGATCGGACCCGTCCAGGTACTCGGGGTAAACGTCCTTGTCTGGGGTCTGCAGCACCCACTGGGCGGCTTGGACTGGCCACACCGCCAGCCTCTCATGCCACACGCTATCGTCGCCGTACCACACCAGCAGCCGGGACCCCGGCATCAGACTCTTCCAGAACTCCGAATCCACGCCGACGCGCGGGGCGATCGCCATGGCGCCTGCACCGCGAG